TGGGCTTTCTTTTGTTTTTCCTTGCCGCTGTGGGAGAATGGAGGAGGGGAAGGGGGGATGCATGCGGATGTGGAGGGAGGGGAAATGAAGAGGAGGAGGAAGCGGAGGAGGAGGAGGAAGAGGAGGTGGAGGAGGAGGAGGAGGAGAACGGGGAGGAGGAAGAGGAGGAGAAGGAAACGGAGGAACATAATGAGGAGGAGGAGGAGGAGGAGGAGGAGGAGGAGGAGGAGGAGGAGGAGGATAGCAGAGGTTTCCTGTTCCTCCTCCTCCTCCTTCCACAACGGCAAGGACAACCAAAGAAAACCAATGGAAACACCACAAAACACCAAGGACACCAACGGGCTGGAGCCGAAACACATAGAAACACCTAAGGAAACACCAACAAAACCAAACCAACCAACTATTCACATACCTACCCTTCCCACCCCTACGCTCCACCGAGAAGTGTGCATTTTTTTATTGTTTTTTTTTTTTGGGGGGGGGGGGGGGGGGGGGGGGTCCTTAGGTTTTTGCTTTTTTTTTCAATTCCAAGCCTTTGGTTTCTTTGTTGTTTTTGTTGTTTTTCCGTCGGTTTTTATTTTTCTGCAACACACCTGTTATTTCCTTGGGCTTTCTTTTGTGTTTCCTTGCCGCTGTGGGAGGATGGAGGAGGGGAAGGGGGGGTGAAGGCGGATGGGGAGGGAGGGGAAATGAAGAGGAGGAGGAAGAGGAGGAGGAGGAGTAGGAGGAGGAGGAGGAGGAAGAGGAGGAAGAGGAGGAGAAGGAGACGGAGGAACATAATGAGGAGGAGGAGGAGGATAGCAGAGGTTTCACTGGTTCACGCCCGCTTTCATTTTCCAGGGGGCCCCCTTTCACCCTGAAGGCTAACAATAATAATAGTAATACTAAGAAGAATAATAATAAAGCGATGGAGAAGACGAGCACTAAGAATACTACGAATAATAACAGTAATACTAATATTCTCAATGAGAAGAAGAATCAACATAACAATACTAATAATAAGAAGAATAATCGAATGAATAATAAGAATAATAACATTAATCTGAGTGCTAACAACAATAATAATAATAATAATAACACGAATAATACTAATAAGACGAATAATGAAAATAAGAAGACGAAAAATAATAACATGATGAGGAGGAGGAGGGGGAGCAGGAGGGGGAGGAGGAGGACGACGAGGACGAGGAGGGGTAGGCCCCTACAACGATTAATTCCCATCGAGGGAACTGCCTCGTTGGAAGAAAACCGTCTGAAGACCCTGAAGCATGCCAACAAATTGTTCCCGGGATTCCAACGCCACGGATCAACTTGACTGCTACGTTTTGTCGATTCTGAATCGTGCCAGGACGCCATTCCTGGGACTTCAGCACCACGAATTAACATAATTGTTGCACCCTGATAATCCATATCACTTCCAACAAACCAATTCTGGTACGCTGACCAGGGGAATACATGGGACTCTTGTGAATCTTAAAAACGAATGTGCGCGGCGATAAGGCGATAGTCTCATTTTGAAAAGGATCCGCCCTTAATCCGTGACGCTCGTGCAAGTTTTTTTTTTTTTTTTTTTTTTTTTTTTTTTTTTTTTTAAAAAAAGCAAAAGCAAAAAACGAATGTGCGCGACGCTTAGGCGAGAACCACATTTTGAAAACGACCCACCTTCATCCCGTGAAACTCTTCCAGCTTTTATAACGAATGTGCGCGGCGCCAAGGCGAGAGCGTCCTTTTGAAAACTACCCGCCCTCAATCCGTGGAGCTCTTGCCAATTTTGAAAACGAATGTGCGCGGCGCTAGTGCGAGAACCACATTTTGGAAACGACCCTCCATCTGTGAAGCTGTTGTCAATTCTAAAGCTTCAGGGTCATAGCTGGTGAGGAAGTCTCAGGCGAAACGCCCGGCCCGCTCTAACATCCAGCCTTAGGTTGCGACAGGTTGAAGAGTTATATATATATATATATATATAGGGATATCTGTAAGGAAAAGGATTGGAGGATGAAGGGGAGGAGGAGGAGGAGGAGGAGGAGGAGGAGGAGTAGGAGGAGGAAAATGAAGAGGAAGAGGAATAATACGAATAATAATCACATTAAGACAGACCATAAGAGTATGTCGAATCTTATGAAGAACAAGTGTAACAATACTCATACTAATCACACTACTGCGAATACGAGCAATAATATTAATCCTGATAATAATAATGCTAACAATGCCAATGATAAGGCTAACACGAAGAATAATAGTAATAATACTAAGCAAACGACTAAGACGAATGAACATAAATAATACTATTACGAATACTTTAATAGGTTAACAAGTTGAAGAGGAATGATAACTTACATAGCAATAATAATGGTAGAAGAAGAATTATCATACTAACAATAAGAAGAAGAGGAGGAGGAGGAGGAGGAGGGAGAGGAGGAGGAGAATGAGGAGGAAGAGGCGGAGGAGACGAGAAGGAGGATGAGAAGGAAGAGGAGGAGGAGGAGCAGGAGGAGGAGGAAGAGAGGATGATAGAATGAGTGGTAGGCGTGTGAACTACTACGTGAAGCACCTGCTGGTGGACAGCGAAGGTCAGGGCTGTCGAATTCACACGGATAGCGAGGGTTCTATGTTCGACGACCGACGGCCAACAGACGACGGACGACGACCGTCGACGACGGACGACCGGCGACCGACGACAACGACGGAAGCTTTCATCCCCCGCCTCTCCACATCTTCCAATCAATTTCTTCTTCTGGGCGACAGACTGCGAGGACGAGGAGGATGAGGAGGAGGAGGAGGAGGAGGAGGAGGAGGAGGAGGAGCTGGAGGCCAGATCTCACAATGCCTGTAATTCTGGATGCCCTGGGAAGGCAGCTTCTCGAAAGCCATTGAGTGGGTCACTGACAACGGCGACCCGAAGGTTGTTTGCCACCCAGTGCTGTCCATGGTGACGGATGTCGTCTGGGGCCGCATAGCCTTCAGGACTTTCCTGCTCGGCAAGCTGTGGCTGCTCGTCACGCTGTTGGTTTTCATCGTCGGTAGCTCCGTCCCCTCCTCCTCCTCCACCTCCTCCTTCCCCGTAGTCCCCAGGCGACCTGCGAAGGTCTCAGGAAGTCTCAGCAGGCCCGAAAAGCCAACAGTTTCAACCATCTCGCGCTAGGTTGCAGCTCCTGGGAGGTTGAAGTTAGACTCGGCGCTGGTATTTGCATGGGTCGAATCCGGCCGAATCCAGCGCAATCTGGCGCATTTCCACTCAATTAGTTTCAGTCCGCGTTAATATCGGGCTGAGTTAATCCAGCATCGGAAACATTGGGTACGCTGCCCGACAGCGAATGTAGTCCAGAACCAATAGCGACCGCTGTTGGGCATGTGACCCCTGTCCCCCATGGACATTGCCTGCGGCGCCGCCGACAGCGAATTAGGATCAAAATAGGCAGGACTAGTTGTCGTTCTTCGTCCTCATCCTTTCCGCACCCAGCTCGATCGTGCCCATCTCGGGGGGCCCAGGGAGGCTGACCGTCTCAGTCATCTCAATCCTCCTCCTCCTCCTCCTCGGCACCTCCGCGCTGAAACACAGCAGCGGCGGCCTCAACGGCGAAGAGTCCATCCGCTACGTCATCACCGGCTGCCGCTGCTTCATCTACTGCTTCAGGCGCATCGGTTCGGTATCGTTCAATCGATCCCCATCCCCATCCCCATCCTCTTCGAGACCCCCACCAAATCACCACCCCAGTTGGTGATGCACCCCTCGAAACCCGAAGGGAACGACCTATATCCCCGTCTAGGGGGTAACATGGCCCCAATGACCTGGTGCGCACCTGGATGCGACTCGGTGATCTTGCCTTTCAACAACCCGAGCAATCATCCTGGCGATTTGGAGCAGGGTGTTGGGGCGGTTAGGTCTCGAACGAAATGGGGCAGCGCGCATCACCTTGATCCAGTGCTCGATGGCCTGGGCCATTGTGGCCATTGAGGCCCAGGCCACAACGCTGAGGATGGGGATCGGTTGAACGATGCTCATCGGTTGCGCCGTCGGCTCGCTCCTGCTCGACTGCACCGTCGTGCATCCTCGTCGTCCTCTTGGGTTTACAACTGCCAGGGAGGTCGAATTAGAGCATCGGCGGTGGTGTTTCCTGGGGTCTGAAACGGCCTGGTGCCAAATCTGGTTCAATGTTGTTTGAGGCGTCCCAGTCTGGCCTTATCCTTGAATCTGGCTCGAACTGGCTTCGTAGCCCCCTGATTGAGCTTCGTAGTCCTTTTAGTCGTTCCCACGAAAGCCTCCCAGGAGTTGTCTCCCAATTCTTCAAACTCTTCTTAACGAGCAGACAGTGACGATTGTCCTCAATTCGGGTCTCTGCGGCCCCTCTTCAGGTCCTGGGGCCGTCAAGAAAGGGCTCGGTATGAAAGCCGGTCCCCAGGATGGTGTCGACAAATCCGGAGGCCCACGTCAAGAAAATTCCCGACGTCGGATGTGATGACCCCCAACCTCCATCCATATCTTCCCTCCTCCTTTTCTTGCGCGAGTTCTCCTTTCCCCTTCCTCCTTCCTCGTTCGTCCTCCTTCTTCCTTCCTCCTCCCTCTCCTCTCTCCTCCCTTATCCCTCCTCCCTGCTGCCTGCTTCCTGCTCCCTCCTTACATCCTCCCTCCTCCATCCTCTCTCCCCTCCTCCTGCCCATCCTTCTTCAGCATGGGCCAGTGGCTGTACTACCACACGAAGCACAGCTGCAAGGACCTACGATCGCGGAACTTCGTGTACATCGGGTCTCGGGGGCAGCGGCAAAGGACGATGATGATGATGATGATGATGATGATGATGATGATGATGATGATGATGATGATGATGATGATGATGATGATGATGATGATGATGATGATGATGATGATGATGATGATGATGATGATGATGATGATGATGATGATGATGCCTTGTACTTGTACGGAAATCCTTGAGTGCGCAGTGGGACAGCCGTGGCAGCATCCTTGCGTCTTCCGTCCTATCTTGGCTCTAGCTTCAAAGGCGCGGCTCCCGCGGCGGACCCCCCATGTTCGACTGGGTGGTGCAGCGCGGGGGAGAGTACGCCGCGCAGGGCTTGGTGAACTACATCGCGCGGTGCCCAGCGGCGCCGCCGTGCCCTGCCTGCCCGGCGCTCACCCTGCCAGGCTTGTGGCGTCTGCCAGGCGCCCGCCTGCCCGGGCCTCTCGTGCCCGGCCTGCCCGACCTGCCCGGGCCTCGCGCCGGCGGCTGGTGCGGCGGCGTGCCCGGCCTGCCCGGAGGCCCCGGAGGCAGCCCCGTGCGCCGGGCACGGCTGGGGGCTGCTCTGGTTTGTGTGCGGCGTGGCCTGCGGCCTCGCGTCGTCCGCTGCGCTGCTGGGCGCTTGGCGCGCGGCTCGGTGCCGCGGCAGGCGCGGGCGGGCTGCCATCCAGGGCTACTCGGAGCCAGGGCGTGACCCCGTGAGCGATGGCGACGTGGGCGTACGTGCTGTACTTCGGGGGCGGCCCCCGTCAGGTCTGGCACCAGAGGCTGGTGCTGGGGCAGGTGGCGTTGTCGGGTGGTAGCCTCTTCGTGATCGCCACGCCCGACCGCCACGTGTACGCGGAGGACTACAGTGCAGGGTCAGCCGACGTGGCAGCCGTGAGGTGGGCCGCGGCCTTCAACGTGCTGCCGGACGGCATCCCTCCTGGGGACGTATACCCTTTCCGGGCGGAGCCGACGGCGGCACAGCAGGCCGCCTTCCTCGCCGCGGCGGTGCCCGAGGCCGCGGGCGAGTGCGCCGGGCTGGCCGCGGCCCAGGGCGTGTCAGCCCCGGCGGTGGAAGCCCACTGCCTGCTGCCAGTCCCGGTGGGCGGTCCCGCGGCCGGGGCAGGGGCTGCCCCGGTGGTGGCCGCAGCGGGCGCGCCCGCCGCTCTCGGAGCCGCGGCGCCCGCGCGGGTGCCGCCGCTCGTCGGGCCCTTGCAGGGGGTCGTGGCTGTTGGTGCGGCCGACGGACGTGGGGCTGCTCGCTGGGTCGCCGCCGAGTGCTTCGGCGGCTACCGCGTGGGTGACGACGTGCCCCACCAGGCCGGAGCGGGCATTGTCGGGGACAAGGACATCCACCGGCTTGCGGACGGCTCGGGCCTCTTCGTGCAGTACCTGAGGCCGAGCGACGAGCAGGAGTTCTTCGACCGCATCGTGGCCAGCGACGCCCGCATCCTCCCAGTGCGGCGCAACAGGCTCGGGCGGCGGGAGCGGACGTGGGCGGACATGTGTGCCGCGGTGACGAAGGAGGATTTCGGCAAGGACTGGACGCTCGGTGGCGTGCGGACTGCGAGCTGGTGCCTGGAGCACATCAACTCGGAGGGGGGCAGCTTGGATGCGCACCACGATCGGTTTCGGTCGCTGTGCCGCCTGGAGCCCAACGCATGGGGAGTGGCCGAGCACCTCCACCTCACGGCAGCCGTCAAGGCCGGCCTACTCGTCGACCAGCTCGATGGCACGAACCTCGTCATGGTCGAGATGCTGCTGAGGAGGATGCAAACGATTGAGTTCGCCCACCTCGAGCGGGCGAAGGAGGCCGAGGCAAAAGGATACAGTGGCCGTCTCAGCCTCGAGGAGCAGCAGGCTTTCTCGGGGCTCAGCCGGGGCTCGGGGCAGCTGATGATTTGTCCGGAGCTCCTCGACGTGGTTCGGATCGACGTGGAGCGGGAGGCGCAGCTCAACAAGGCCCTGCGGAAGGGGCGCGAGGAGCGAGATGCCGCCCGCAAGAAGGGCGGGGGCGACAAGTCGTGAGTCCCCGCCAACATCTACGTCTGAGGTTGGCTCGCGCTGCTCGGAGGGTGCAGCGCTGGCCTCTTGCTCTCTGTTCGCCCCCCTCCTCCTGTCCTCCGGGCTTCCCCTCATGCATACTTCTGCGCCTCGCGCTCCCGGCGCCCGGGAGGCGCGCAGGCCCTGTGTGCCGCCGCCCTGCGAAGCTTTTAATTACGGGGGCGAGCCTTCCCGTGCGGTTCCCCGCGACATCTTGCCTTTACCGCGGCCGGCGGTGGAGCGGTATCGGGGTATCCATGGAGGGCTCTCCCGTGCGGTCCGACAGCGTCGTGGTAAGCGCGAGAGTTTTGAGTTGGACTGCGATCGTGCCGTCCACGCTTTGAACTCGCTCTATCTTCACCAGGACCAGCCTCCCGTCGGCCATGGCGCCGACCGTGCAGTTTTTGTTTCCTTGGGCCAGCGTCACTGTCTTGATAGGATTCGGGACTCCGTCGCTGCCCTCGGCCCGCCTCCGCCGGAGGTCACTCCCGCAGAAGCTCTCCGGAAGCTTCGCGTGGCGAGCTGGTATGATGTTGACTCTGCTGTGCTCGGTTCCTATAACCTCGCTAGCGTCTCGCTCCCCTCAGGCTCACCGGCGCCGGTACCGCTCGAGGATCTGTGGGGCGCTGGCGGGTCGGACATGATTAGGGACTTCGTCCAAAGCCGATTGCTACCGTCTAGTGAGGTAGATACTCGTTTGAAAAATTCTCAAGTCGCGGTGCCGTATAGTGACCCAAAGCTGCGTCGGGTCGCGGCCTTTGAGGAGTTCATCCGTGCATTGCAGCAGCGAGGCATGGTAGATTTCAGCTTCTCATGTAAGGAAAGGGTAGAAGCTTTTTTCGTGCACAAGAAATCCGGGAAGCTCCGGCTGGTAGTAGACTGTCGTAGAAGCAACTGTCACTTCCAGGACCCTGCCCCCGTTTCCCTCCTCACCGGCGAAGGCCTTGCTGGGCTGGAGCTCGGCGAGGGTGGGGACTTGCATGTTGGCGGGGCCGACTTGTCTGACGCCTTCTATCATATGCAGTTGCCACCCGATTTGAGACCGTTCTTCTGTTTCAGGGCTGTGCGGGCGGGGGCGGTGGGGTGTACTAGGGTCAATGGGAAAGCCGTTCCTCCGTCTGCCATGGTCTACCCCCGTCTGTCAGTGATACCAATGGGTTGGAGCTGGGCCCTGTGGATGTGTCAAACGGTCCATGAACGTATTGTGGAACAGGCTGGAGCTTCCCCGGAGAACCGCATTGTAGATAAGCAGGTGACGCCAGACCTTCATCGGGCGTGCCATTCGCAGTATGTGGACAACTTCATCGCTGTCTCTACTGACGCCAGTGCTGTTCGCTCTCTCGTTGCGGATGCGATTCGTGCTCTTGAAGGGCGGGGTCTCGTCGTTCATGAGGAGGAGTATTCGGGGGAGGACAAGGTGGCCCAAGTTTGGGGGTGGCAGATCGACGGGTCCCGGGGCCGCGTGGCTGCCACCCCGGTCCGTCTCTGGAGGGCCCGCCTGGCCATTCGGGCGGTCCTCCGGAGGGGTAGGTGCTCTGGGCGGGACCTGGAGCGCCTCCTGGGGCATCTTGTCTTCCTCTCCCTGGTCCGCCGGGAGGGGCTATCGCTGTTCTGGTCGTGCTATGCCTTCGTCAGGAAGAATTGCACCCAGGATGTGCGTCTGTGGGCTTCGGTACGTCGCGAGCTCTCTCTCTGGGATGGGCTGGCTCCTCTCCTCTGGCGGGTCCTACGGGCGGGCTGGAGCGACGAGGTGGTGGCCGTCGATGCTAGTGAGTGGGGGCTGGGGGCGTGCGCCGCTCATTGTGGGGCCTCCCTGGGCCGGAGCGTCGGCCGGGCCTCGGAGCGTTGGCGCTGGGGTCGGGTCGGCGCCGCCATGGGCCCTCGTCGCCACGCGCTGGACCACGCTCGTAAAGCTGAGGCGGCGGCGGCCCTGGCGGGGGAGGCCCGCGAGGCTGCCCCCTGGATCGCCGCCGCCAGCGACGTCCCAGGGCCCGAGTGCGCTCCCCCCCAGCCCCCCTTGGCTGGCTCAGGTGTCCTGGACAGCCCCGGTGACGTCTTCGGGTTCGGTCGGGTCAAGCGGGTCGTGGACTTCCCAGAGGTCCCGCGGGAGATGATCGAGCTGCAGTGGTCCGTCGTCGGTCGCTTCCTTTGGAGGCGCAAGGGGGAGAGTATCGCCGTGTACGAGGCTAGGGCCACCCTGTACGGGTTTCGTCATCTCCTTCGTTCGTCCCGGAACCTTGGGAAGCACCTGTTGGTCCTGGGGGACTCGCAGTCGACGGCCGGTGCGGTGACGCGGTTTCGGAGCGACAGCCGTAGCGTGATGCGGGTCGCCCAGGCGATCGCGGCCCTCTCGCTCGCTACCGGCTCGGCCCTGCACTATCGGTGGTTGCCCTCGGAGTGGAACGTCGCGGACTCTCCTTCCCGAGGCCTCTGGGCTCCTGCGGTTCCAGGCCCGCTCGATTTTTCCAAACATGCACCCGCGGGCCAGACCCGCGCCGTCCTCGACCGGCGCACGGATGGCGCCGCCGGCGGCGCCTGCGGGCTCGCTGGGCTCGCCGCAGGCCAAGCGGGGGGCCACCCGTGGTGCCATGACGGCGAACCTCTCTACGTCTGCACGGGCCCCCGGCCCGCCGCGCCGACAGCGAGCCGTTGCCCGCCCTCCTCCAGCCGTGAGGAGGCTCCTGGCGGTGGCCTGCGTTGCGGCCCAGCGGAGGGCCTCTGCCGTCGCAGTGGGGCCCACAGTGCTGGAGAGCGCCTCGGTTCAGCCTCGGGCGCGACAGAAGTGCCAGTCGCAGTTCACCGAGGTCCTGGCTTGGCTCCCCGTCCCGATGGCCACCTCCGAGGCGGGCGTCGACCTAAAGCTCGTGGGGTGGCTGGTCGCGCGGTACCTGGGCGGCGAGGACCTGGCGAGCGCCCCCTGCTGGGCCACCACGCTTCACGCGCAGGGGGTCAGGAGGTCGCCCAAGACGGACAAGTTCGACAAGTCCATACGCCTGGATCTGGAGCGGCATGCCCCGCTCGTGCCAGGGCTCAAGGCCCTCTCTCAGGGCCGGAGTCCGCCCTCGCCGCTCGTCGTCGTCGCCCCGCAGGTCGTGGTGACGACGGTGTGCAACGTCGTGCGCAGCCACAAGCTGGACGTGTACCTCGGCGACGTCCCTTTGTCCCAGCTCAAGCACGGCGGCGCCTCGCACGACTCCGCCAAGGCCTTCAGGGGCCTGAAGGACGTGTGGCGCCGC